TCAAAAGCGACCAGCCATCTAAAACTCAACACTTCAGTGATACATTGTTGAAATCTTCAAATAACTTAAAGTCGTGCAAACTAAGACTGTCAGCAGAACTGCTCAAGCCCTGCTTCATCACAGACCAACCAATCCAACGAGGGGTTTCCCAAAGGACATCATTCCGACGTCACCAACCAATCAGTAACGGGGTTCCCTCAAAGACATCCAGGAAGCCCGCGTCAGCGACGGAATCACCTCAGCTTTCCAGCTGTCAACCAGCAAAACGCATGTACAAACAAAATCTTCGATCTGCTGAACTGGTGAATTTAGATTCTCTGCTTTGTGAGTTCTTAAGGTGAATTTACATCATTCGTGAAAATGAGGTAGAACTATGAAACTCAGTCAACTCGCGGTCTAAGAAACTGTACATGTGTGTGTGTATTTTTGTGTGTTTTAGTTAGTTTTATGTAATCTAGAATAGCCAATAAAATTTATACAGCCGCTACATGCCCAAACTTTTGGCATTTATAACATCTTAAAGGAGGGGGTACATAGGGCCTGACCGAGAAGCTCATAAATCCCAAAAAGACTTTACTTGGCAGCTTATCCTCATCAAAATGAATCATCACAGAAAGGCTGTCTCCCCTTTCATTATTCCTAATGCATTTTAGTCTTTTCACCTCAATCACTGCGGCTCCCGAAAGACCTCTCTTAATCTTTTCAACTGTTACATCTGTGGGGATCCCTGTTATTACTCCTTTCACCCATTTCTTTTCTTCTTGTACTGAACAAATCACACTTTGTCCCATGATCGATTTAACTCCTAGAGCCTTCTTTTGTTGCCTACTATCCTTACAATATATTATCAATCTACCATCCCTCAACTTCTTAACACTTTCAATAAGTCCTATCACTTCCTTAATTGTTTTAGATAATTTCAGCGGATTAATGATACTGAAAGATCCGGTTTCAAGTTTCATCACTACCTTATACTCTTCCTTCCTTCCTTCCTTCTGATGCGTTTCATTTTCACTGTCAGTTGCAGATGCGTTACTCCAGCTTTTCTTTCTTTTTCGATTTTCTACTA